CCTATAGGGAAAGTGTCATGAGCAGGATTTGAACTCATGACCTCCACATTGGGACTGTAGCCCTACACATAGGATGCCAGCTCAACCAGGTGAGCTATAGCAGCGGCCCTATCGCATGACTTTTTTATTTCACGCCAAAACTCAAAATGACTTTTCTTTGTGAAATCCTTTCCTGAGGTGATTTCTACGACATGCATTTGTTACACTTTTAAGAATGACGCTGTGGTCGCTTCTTTGTGTAGCACATTAATTCTTTATTCCTGTTGAAATGATTACAAAAACACATAGTCTCAACGTCTGTGTTGCTCCATGTTACTCGTACCGTCTGACGTCTCACTCTATTAGTGACTGGCATATCTGAGAACACATATCACACGTTTATCCAGTCGAGAACAATCAAATTACAATCATATAATCATGTAGTAATACATCCTGTAAATAACATTTTCACCGGAAGTATTTATACTCAATGAACTTCTTTTTAATCTCCACTTATTCTATCATGAACTGTTTCACCCTTTTAACTCAACCTAGAACTGTTTTAACTCACCAGTATTTATTATTGTCTCTGTCCAGCTCTATGTTGCACCAAAATAACAATAAAGTCTAATACTGAAATCGTGTCTTCTATATAAACAATTATTTTTAAATGTAACAAGATCACCTGTGTTCGATATATCGCTCCGCTCTTATTCTGAAAACCCAACCGGAAACTGTGTACTGCCGGCGGTCAAAACTGCAATGCGCGCGACTTTATTATCGTTAGCATTGTTAGCATCCGTGTCGTTAGCCTTCGCTCATTCATTCACAGAAATAAAGCTTTACCTCCTTTCAACTCATTTGCTAGCCAGAACTCTTATCACTGTTTGTGATTCTATCTGCGGTTGCTTGTTTCTGACTTTAGAAAACAGTGTCATAGCTCATTTTCAACATTTTAGCGCTGCGTCACGGTACTCGGTTAGCACTCGCTACAACGGCTCACTCGTCTCCATTCATTCAAATTACTCTGTATCACAGTCACAGTCTAAGGCTTATACACGGT